CCTGCTGTCAGCTATTAGGTGTTTTATTATTCAGAGTTCCATCGCTGAAAAGAGCTCCTCCGAATTTGTCCTCTAACTGACTCTAGCTGGCTCACTGCAAGAGGTAAACAGTGTCTCTTGTCTTGTTTTCTGCTCGCTGCTTGTCTGATTCGGTTGATTCGAAAGGCAAACTTGCGAAGAGCCGCTGAGGTCCTGGATGCGGGTGACGCAGCAATCAGAGGAGGTTGCGTTGTTTTGGAACACTTCGATACTTCTGCGAGCTGGCCAATACAGAATTTGCTGGTGTCCTGATTATTCCGGCTGCATAACAGAAGCAGATTTCGCGACTGATGTGGGTCGTCTTGAGCTCGTGGGAATCTCCCCGTACCCGCAGCACAGGACATGCGTGACTGGCCAGACGTGCGAGTTTGATGGGATGACTGGGTTGTATCTTACCGAGCAGGATTTGTACCTGGTGGCGGATACCTGTGGTACAACATCGGGAGTTCCACGGTTTTTGGGAAGCAGCAGCTTCTCGACTGCGGTCACGAACGATGGAGCACAAGTTTCATTCGGATCGGTCCCTGTGACTGCCGCTGGGGGTCACTTCATGCTCTGTTGGTGCTCTGGCACTCTCGGAAACAGCACGCTGGGAAATGGCTGCAGTACCTTTGCAGATTTTCAGGTTACCGCAGGCACACTTAGCTTGTTGGGACCGGCTCCTCTCCTACAAGACAAGACTTGCATCAGTGGCCACACATGTTCTTTTGAAATCACCAGTCACCTGCCGCATGAAGGAAATTCATTCCTGGTTCTTGACACATGTGGCGTGCACAGTTTGCCGCCTCGCCTCCCTGTGGCACCACCCTACCAGACCACAATGAACCTGTCATCAAGACAAATCTCAATGGCGGGTGGCCAGTATCGCCTGTGCTGGTGTGCTGGCAAAGTTGGAGCAGGCAACCTGCCAAATATGAGCAGCGAAGCCAGTACATCCAGCAACGAAACAGTGTACAGCACATGCTCTTTCATGGATGAATTCAACGTTGACTTCGGTGGCCTGTTCGTGATGGGGCTGGCTCCACTACAGCAGTCAAAAAGCTGCGTGAGTGGTTATTCCTGCGTAGTTGAAGGAATCACCGGTTACGGCCTCAGCGCGGCTGATGGCTACATGATTCTGGACACCTGTGGCGTCCACTCCGGGCCGCTTCAGACTTTGCTGCCATTCGAAAGTCAGGGAAATGTCAGCGACGGGTGGTCGGTCACTCGGCGTTGGGTGTCCGAAACACAAGTCTCCGGTGGATTTTATCGACTGTGTTGGTGTGCTGATCATCCTGGCAACCAAACATCTTGGTGCCAGCATGCAGAGTACAACACAGTCGATTTTGGCGTTATGACTTTCATAGGTCCTGAGCTCTCTTCCGTGGGATGGACATGCGTCTCTGGACAGACATGCGTTGTGGATGCTATTGCTGGCAACGGCTTGTCCTTGCTCGATGCTGTGATGATCCTTGAGACCTGCGGAACAGCGCTCTCCGGTGTTGGCCTGGTGTGGCCAGCGACACCGCTTGAAGTGCTCACTCCGCTGAACGATCAGGGCCAAGCATCCTGGCATGATCCCCTGTCTGCTCCAGGAGGTGACTTCCGCCTGGGCCCTAGACCCTGAAACCAGAGCAGCTGTATGCACTGTGTGCAGGGTTTTGTTGTAGGTGCTGTTGAGTACTCGCGTATATCACCTGCTTTCATGCGTCCTTTTGGATGTTAAGGTCTTTGCTGGTGTGCGGGCATTGAGCAGCAATCCTCAGGGGCGCTGAACGGCAGCTGTATCGCTTTCAACGAGACAGTTCCTGCGGATCGCTTTGTTCTGGATGTTGGGCGTATCAACATACTTGGCGTTGCGCCTCTCCGTCAACATCACACTTGTGTTGCGGGGCTCTCTTGCCACATTGACGGCATCACCGGCAATGGTTTGAGGGATGACGACAAGGTGCTTGTGCTCCATACATGCGGCCACATTGCGCCTGTTGTGGGATTCCCTGAACATGGTGCTATGCGAAACATATCCACATCTGGAGCATCTGTCTTCTGGACAGATCCAGTTTTAGCTTGGGGAGGACAATATCGCCTGTGCTGGTGTTCCTCCGAGCAGCACTGCAGCAGCGGCGAGCAGTTCCGCACTGATTTTGGCAGCTTCACACTCATCGGTCCTAGCCCCGCTGATCAAGACAGGACGTGCATTGCTGGTCTCAGCTGTGCTGTTGGATCACTCACTGGGCAAGATCTGTCTGCCCTGAACCAGTACGTCGTCTTGGACACCTGTGGAGTTGCGAGTCCAGTTGCTGGCATGCCGACGGGTCTGGAGACTATTGGTGCCCACGCTGTGGCTGCCATCTCTGTCACTGCAGTGGCTGGCCAGTACAGGCTTTGCTGGTGCAGCGGCACATTAGACCCTCTACAAACCAATAGTTCCTACTCCAGCCTTGCCAACTCGACACCTTCTAATGGCACAGCGGTTTCATACTGTCGAACTGCTGAAGAGTTTCTCGTAGACGTCGGCTCGCTGCTGTTGATTGGAGCTTCCACCCTGGTGAGTGACTTTACCTGCATCGCTGGAAGAGATTGCAAATTGGACGACATTGTTGGCATCAGCCTGAGCGATGGAGACTCCATTATGGTGCTGGATACTTGCGGTGAGCATGCTGCTGCACTTCAACCTCGAGCGCGGGCCAATGGCACACAGGCGGCATGGCAGACCATCACCATCCCGGGTGGAGTGTATCGGCTGTGTTGGTGCAGTGCAGCCAAGCAGTGCAATTTGGCTGGCGAGTTTGATTTGGACATTGGCAGGCTGTACGTTCTGGGTCCGCGCCCTTTAGCGCAGGACCGAACGTGTGTGAGTGGGATGGAGTGTGCTGTGCACGGCATTGACACTTATGGTGAGCTGCAGGCAGGCAGCATAGCAATTTTGAGCACATGCGGATCGCTCTACGGCAGAAACTTGTGGGCTCGCTTGCCATTGAGTAATGCTACTTCCCTTGAAGAGCCTGGTGGAAGCAGTCGTTTCTCCACAAATCTCGTTACAGACGCTGTCATGACTTCGGCAGGGGGAAATTACAAGCTCTGTTGGTGCGGCACATGGGTTGGTGGCTGTGAGACGCAAGAAGACTTCAATGTCGATTTCGGGAATTTCCACTTGATTGGAGTATTTCCCCTACAGCAGGACCGCACCTGCTTCGCTGGCGCTGCATGCCCTCTGACAGACATCGTCGGACACTGGATAACCCAGCAGTCGGAAGTTTTGGTGATGGACACCTGTGGCTCCGGAGCAGAGACTGCCACATCTGCTGCAGGGACTTACAAGCTTTGCTGGTGCAGCGGCCTCTCAGCCTGCAGCTCTGCATCAGACTTCACCGTGGAGGCAGGCAACCTCTGGGTCATGGGACTAGCACCATTGGATCAAGACCATACCTGCGTCAGCGGTCAGAGCTGTGTGGTTGACCACCTCAGTGGTCTAGGCTTGTCAAAGGAGCAGATCATGGTTCTCGAGACCTGCGGCACGAACAGTTTGCTCTACC